AACACTAACCACCTAACAGGTGTGAGCCTCATTTAAATATGTGGCTAAATGACATAATTAGATAAGATTGTTTTGAGAATTTCTTCAAGCTTTTATCCTATTTAATTGTAATAAAAATTGATCAATGCCCTTGGTATATTTACATATGATTTATTTTCTTTCTTTTTTATTTTTTGCCATCATTTTCTTAATGTTGAAAAATTGTTATCTAGAGAGTGGTTTTTGTGAGTTTTCTTTCTTCCATTTTATCATGTATCATAGGTTTTCTTTTCAGCATGGTCATTTAGGCTTTACTGGATTATTTTCTAAAATCTTTTCTGAGAAAGAGTAGAACTGGGACAGGATGTATTTTATGCAACATTTCTCACAAATATTGATCATTGTTTTTAAAGTCCAATAAAAGTGTATACTTTGGGGAGGTTCATCATAATGGAATAGAATACTGATCTCAGTTCAAATTTACATATCTCCTCCCCCCCAATAGTTTTAATGATTTTTTTAAATTCAAGGGTTTGGTACAGATTTGAGAAGTAGCTCATTATCATAATCACTCTATATATGTGCTGCACCACCATGACACTTTTGTTTGAATGCATTTCCTCGGAAAGAAATTGAAAATATACTCTATACCAGACAGAGTGTTAGGTTTGTATGTTGTGCCTTCTTATCCTTACAAGAAATCACTACAAAATAATTGTTACCTATGTTCTAGTTCATGTTACTAGTATGTGGCAGAACTTGGAGTTGAAACTATATTATTATTATATTTTTGCTAATTGCATGTGTGTATATTTATTTATTTTCGCTAATTGCATGCATATGTCTTGTTTAGTTTTGCTTTTTTTCATAAAAATACCATCAGTTTGGGGAGAGAAACAAACCAAATGGACATCAGGTGACTCTTTATCACCTGTGTTCACAGTGGAGAAATATGAGGGTTGTCAAAATTCTAAGGAAATGTTTGAAAAATATTGGGAAAGGAAATGGTGAAGGGTTTTTTTGCTTTGCTTCTGTTACTTGCACAGAAAGATATATCTGTTTGTATATATGAGAATCAGTTTCCAAGATGATATCTCTGAAACAATGCAAGGTTGTGTTATGCCTTTGGATAAGGCCTTTGGAATCATTTAGTATTTCTAACTTCTTTAATGTATTTTATTTGTACTGTAATTTTAAATAGCTAACAAAGTAGCAGTTCATATAACTCCTTATATTATAATCCGTATCTTCCTCAACCATACCAAACAAGAAATTCCCCTCTCCTTTTATTCAGAATAGATCCACCATATAATGTTGTACTCTGTTAAGAGCAATGATAGTGTTTGTTAAGAGATCACTGGATAAAATACTTTCTGGGAGTTTTTTTTGTTAAATCCTGATACTAAAGAACAAAGGAAACCATTTCTTCAGTTGAGATCACGCTGAGTTTCACATCACTTCTAATAGGGTCAGTATGCATCTGTGTAGTGATATCACTTACAAGTCAGTATTTTTGCTTATTTATACAGCTTAAAAGGTATAATTAGAGGACACTCTTTTTATATGAAGAATGTGATTTTCTGAAGAATATAACATTTATGGTTGTAAAGGCCCCTGGACAATGGGAAGGTCTGGCCCAATCATATATTTTTAGGACCTGTTATGTTTAAAGTGGCTAAGACTTCTGAACCAAGAAATATTAGAGGAGAATTGTGAAAAAAATATGTCTATTTTATCTGATTTGGAAATCTGTTTTAAAAATATGAAAATATATACAAGTTTTGCTAAAGAATTAAAGTTAATTTTTATTTATAATAAAATTATAATAAAAATAAAATTAACATGTAATGTCATATTGGTTTTTCATTAATAATTGAGGTTGATGTGGTACGTGCGCTTCCAGACCATGTGTGCACACCCTTCTACATAGAAGTGAAGATGTTTGCCTTGCAAAAAGAAAAAATGAATAATTGAAGTTGATGTGATGATATATTCTTTTATTAAACATGTTTAGCATTGTATTTTTATACATTGGCAGCTTTTAGATTATTAAATAATATTACAGCTTGAAAAGCTTTCAACTCTAAAAGTCATAATTCAGCATAAGTAACTGCAAATTATAGGATTTATTTATGGTGGGGAGAAAGCAGATGTTTGTTTATATTTGAAATACTGATGTGTTCAAGATGAAGCTTCAGTTTGCAAAATCCACCAATTCTTTAGGTATTAATTGTGTATTATACTAGGCATTGGGGTCTCAAAGCAAAGCAGTGATGGCCTTTGCTACTTAACAAACTTATGGTAAATAGTGAGGTCAGATTGATAAACAGATTCTTACTTTATAAAGTAATATTTTAGGATTCATAAAGGAGTAGTATATCTGAAATGGAAGAGGGTGGGAAGGGGGCTCAGTGATGGCATCCTGGAATGAATGATGTCATGGAAATAGGACTATTGCTACATCAGGTCCTAGGACGGGCATGCCAAGCAGGTGCACCCACATCTGCAAATGCTCAGAAGGTGAAAGTGGGCAGAAAATGGAAAGTATAATCAGTGTAATTAGAGAATAAAGTGGGAGAAGTGGAGATGTAGCTAGCATCCAGACCTTAAAGAGTCTCTCTAAAAAATGTTGATAATTCAAAACTACAGATATTTGATCCTGTCTCTTGTTTAGCTGGAAAGCTCTCAGTAGGAAATAAAGAACTTAATTTAAAAGACTATCAGTAAGCAACGTAAAATCTAAAGAATTTTTATCTCTAATAGATTTTATGTTCACTCCATATCATCCAATCAGTGTATAAATAGCTCTTAGTATCTCTCTGATGTTTTACTTACATAAATTATGAAAAATATATTAGTAGCCTAAATGTTTTTTTTTTGTACCCAATGAAAACCTGGTCATTTTCATTAAATACTTAGGAAGAGGAATATTATAAAAAATTATAATATTTTTTTCGAAATTTTTATTAAATTTTTTGAATACTTACTAAAGAAATATGGAACTGAGTCACTCTTTTGTTTTTAAATGATGATACAAATGCAAGAAATAATTTTTAAAAGGCCAACAAATATTTCAGTATACGTAAGTTCTTATACTGTGTCAATACAAATGATAAATATCTTGATATTAATGCATTGAAGGCCATAGGTTCACCACCAGCTGCAAATCATTATGGTTGATAATGCTCTAATGAGAGCAACATCTTCACTGGGCATTTGATGGAAATAAATCTTGCATGTAAATGAAAAATCACAGCTGAGAATGATGTTAATTAAAGCATTATTAAGAGTGAAATTATGAAAAATGTGTTATATTTTATATCCACTTTGAAAAATTTAAGCTGAGAAGAAAATGAGATATTTTTGATTTGTGAAAGATTTCAAGAGCTAATGTCTGTGTTTATATGTTAAGCTCTCTTCACCCAAAGCCTTGTTAGAATACTTAAATATATTGGGAGTGGTTCATACACAGTTTAATTTAAATTCAAATTCAGTGAGTACAATTAAAAATCATCCAGAATACCAAATAATGCAAAACTGTTACATTTTTTTATTATTTGAGACAAAATATTAAATGTATATGAATGCATATCCGAAAGAGAAAATATTTTCCATTATTGTCACATACTTCTTTAAGGACATGAGAACATTTTACTTTCTCAGTCTCATTTCAGTAAAGATGATAAAATGGAGGGCTTGTCATTTTATGTGTATTTGTTATTGTTTCGTTTTGGTTGCAAAAAGCAACAAAATGAAATAGAGCCTTAATCAAGTTGACAAAGGGAGCATGTACATTATAGTTAAGGTATTAAGTGAAATTTAGAGACAAAGCAAAATAAAACAGGAACCATGTTATGACACATTATGAAAACTAGTGAAAAATAGCAGTCACCAGAATAGCAATATTGACCACACAACCAGGAATCCCTGAAATGGAAGCGTGTCTGGGCCTTTCCCTTTCACTCTGGTGAAAGCAGTTCAAGCCATGCTGATTATGAGCTGATCCTGTAGTTAGATAAGGCTTAGCTTCTTATTCCTCCTTTTCCACTTATGAACTGAGTGACATTAGGCAAGTTATCTTTCTGCTATAAAATGTCCATAATAATATTATCTACTTCTCCACTCAGAAGCATTAAAAGAGATAAACTGTGTAAAAGTACTCAGTACATCATAGTTGAACATCTGCTACGCTCTCCTCTTCCTTCTTCTCCTCCTCCATCATCAGCACTCTGATATTAATATGATTCAGAATTTTCTCCTCTCAGTCTATATTCTTACCTGTTGAATTAGCTTTCCATCAGGTCTTGTCTTCAACTCATAGTTGTGGTTTCTTCATAACTTTATCTTGCTTCTAACTCCACACTATATTCTTTCGTGGTTTAGTTGCCGCTGCCAATGTACTTAGTATCTCTAAATGTCCTAAATCAAACTCCAAGAGGGAGAATGCATCCTCGTTGTTTACCCTTTGAGTGGAGCCTCTAATATCGGCTTATACCTTAGGCTGGTTTGTGATTATGTTAAGTTCAGGTGAATAATGTGTTGAAACCCATGGTCTATCTAGTGCTGGCTAACAGAGGCAGTGGTGGGAACATTTTACCCAGAGGGCATTGATCATGGCTGCCACATGCCTACTACATCTAAACAAATAGACATAAAAAGTTAAGATTCAACGACTTACCAGAGTATGTACTAGTAAGAGTATGTAGAACCAGAGTATGTAGTAAGGCTGGCTCTTGAATAATGATCTTGTGTCTCCCAACCCAATACTCTTTTGAATAGACTTTAAATATACCAGGTATTCATGAAATTTTTGCAGCATCATAAAGTTGCTACATAAAATATTCTCAAATGTTGCCCTTATACATTTTTAATAAAATCCTTAAGTATCAGAATTTTAGTATTTATTCTTTTAATATACACATAATTACATTTTGTGTCTTGAAGAACAATTACTTATTTCAAAATGTCTTATTTATAATTGAATTCTATTGACTTGTTCTTTTTGTCTTAACTTTTCCCAGGCTGCTAAGTTGGATATCACAGTGCAAGCTTTGGGGTCCCAATGGGGGACTCTGGATCCAGACGATCTACCCTGGTCTCCAGGTTGCCAATATTCAGAAGAAGTATCAGCAGAAGACATGATTCTCTTCCTTCTTCGCCGTCCTCCAGCAATACAGCTGGTGTCCACAGCTCCTCTCCTTCCAGCACGAACTCAAGCTCAGGGAGCACAGGCAAACGCAGGAGCATATTCCGGACTCCTTCCATTAGCTTCCACCATAAGAAGGGGAGTGAACCTAAGCAAGAACCTACCAACCAGAGCCTTAGCATTTCCAATGGTGCTCAGGCTGGTCACAGCAGTATGCAAAAACTGACTTCGGAGGAACATATTAAAACCAGGGGAAGACATTCTGTTGGTTTTAGTAGTTCCAGAAATAAGAAGATAACAAGATCGTTGACAGAGGATTTTGAAAGGGAAAAGGAGCACTCAACTAATAAGAATGTCTTTATAAATTGCTTAAGTTCTGGCAAAAGTGAAGGGGATGATTCTGGATTCACAGAAGAACCAACTCGCCGTTCCGTTAAGCAGGCGACAAAGAAGCTGCTTACTAAATCCTTTTCCTCTCACTATAAATTTTCTAAGCCAGTTCCACCGAGCCAGTCCCCTTCATTGGTACAGCAGTCTGAATTCTCATTGGAAATTACACAGTTCCAAGAGAGAGAACCTGTATCAGTAAGAGCTTCTCCATCTTGCTCTGTGGATGTAACAGAACGGGCAGGAAGCTCTTTACCATCTCCATTGCTTTCTGCTGATCTTACCACAGCTCAGACACCTTCAGAGTTTTTAGCCTTGACTGAAGATTCTGTCTCTGAAGCCGATGTATTTTCTAAAAGTGGAAGCATGGCATCCCACTGTGACAACTTTGGCCACAATGATTCTACCTCTCAGATCTCTCCCAATCCTGCTGCTGTTACAAAGGCAACAATAGACCGTATGGGGACTGTTCCCTGTGCAATTATGTCTCCTGGGAAATATAGGTTAGAAGGTCGATGTAGCACTGAATCTAATTCCTTACCAGAAACCTCTGCTGCTAATCAGAAGGAAGTGTTATTGCAAATCTCTGAACTCCCTGTCACAAATGGGAGTGACGTAGAGAATCACCTACCAGCAGATACTCAAGGAGAAGAGCATATGGTATTACAAAACGGTGATACAATGTTGGCAACAAGCTCCCCAAGGAAACTTGGATTTTATGAGCAACATAAAGCAATAGCTGAACGTGTTAAAGGGATTCATCCTATATCAGATTCAAGGATAATACCTTCTTCTGGTGATCGTCATATTTTTAACAAAACATATGGATACGATGCAAATCCTGCCAAAGGTATACTGATTTTCTTTGTATAAAGTATAATTTTTAGTATAATTATGCAATTTTCTTACTCCATGTCATTAATTGAGACCATATTTTTCTTTTTTCACTCTAATATTGTTTTCTGCTTATAATTTGACATTTGTTCACTATTTGATCTTAAGCTTACATTTTGCTAAAAATGTAATTCAGCAATATTACTCATTTTTCTTAGTTGTGTTAGCCAAAATCTGACCCTCAGAAGAAAGTGGAAGAAAACAAATTTTGTTTTCCAGGTGGCTTTATATAAAACAAGGATTGTCTTTTTTAGAGTTTATGGTGGAATATTGGTATTTCTTGATTATGTAATGAATATATTCCACTATTACTACTACTACTGCTGCTACTACTAGTTCTCCCAACATTGAAAGATTTTTCTGTTCCACCCACTGTCCTGTGCTCTTTAGATACATTAATTCATTTAGTCCTCAAATCATTGAAGTCACTCCTCTTGTTATAGCACACTCTACAGGCAAAACAGTTGGAGCACAGGTAGGTTAAGTAATGTGTCCAAAGTTACAAATTGTATGTAATTATTCTGGACACAAACCCCATGAGATAGGCACTAGTATATTTCCCAGTTAACAGACGTGAAAACTAAAATCAAGAGACCATAGAGCTGGGAAGAACAGGCAGGAACCTCTTTACCATCTCCATTGCTTTCTGCTGATTTTACCACGGCTCAGACACCTTCAGAGTTTTTAGTGTTGACAGAAGATTCTGTGTCTGAGGCAGATGTATTTTCTAAAAGTGGAAGCATGGCATCCCACTCTGACAACTTTGGCCACAGTTACAGCTATCTCAATCCAAAGCTCAGGTTCCTAATGGCCAGGCTATAAGACAGATATGACCCGGGCTCTTTCTAAAACATTAAGAATAATAATACTAAAATATAAAATAAGATTTATAAGTCAAATTGTATATTATAATGTTATGAATCATAACATTATATGATTTATCTAACTAGTCCCTCCATGATTATGGCAATTTTAAACTTTTAAATCCATGAATTAATTGCTTAGTGATATAATTATATAGCTTAGGTTGTTTTTACATTTGATATTAAATCATTTTTATCTATCTGCCTACTTTTTTTGTTTTGTTTCTATTCATTTTGTCCATTCTGCATGTTTATTATTATAATATGAAATAAAATTATCTGACCTAGTGAAGCTGTGCATAAGTTATCCTCAATATTTTCCTTTAAAAACATTGTAAAAATTAAAGAAACATTGTGAAATACAAAGGAAATAATAGCTTCTACTCTGTCAGAATTATCAAATATTGACATTTTATTTCCAGACTTTTAGCTATAGCTACATTTAAAAAATTATAGAAATTATTTTTAAGTGAATTTACTAGATTACATTGGTTAATAAAACCATACGGGTTTCAAGTGTACAACTTAATAAGACACCATCTGCATACTGAATCGTGTACTTACCACCCAAAGTTTCTTACCACTACCATTTGTTCTCTCTTTGCTCTCTTATACCTCCCCACATCCCCTTTTCCTCTGGAAATCACTAAACCACCTTCTCTCTGAGAGCTGTCAGTCTGTTCTCTGTATCTATGAATCTGTTTCTATTGTGTTTATTTTGTTTCATTAAATTCCACATAAAGGTTGTTCCAAAATTCACGCAAGAAATAATTTTGATATAAAACACAGGTTTATAATTAAAAATTGTAATTTTTTTTATTGATTCATAAAGTATACAGTATAAGGTTATGTATGGAATAGGATATCAGGTAAATGGACTCTACAGCTTTGCTGGCACATATGCACTCTTATGTTGAAATTTTCCGTGACCGTTTTGCATAAATGTGGCTGAATTTCGATGAGGCTCATTTTCATCTTGATGGCTTGGTTAATCAACAAAATTGTTGCATTGGGGGTTCAGAAAATCCATAAGTAATTGTTGAGAAACAAATGCATCCACAACGTGTCACTGTTTGGTGCAGATTTTGGGCTGGAGGCATCATCGGACCATTGTTCTTCAAAAATGCGGCTCTTCAGGCAATAACAAAAATATGTGCTAGCAAAGTCGTGGAGGCCATTTACCCAACATGCTATTCCTTCCATAACCCTATACTGTATACTTTATGAACCAATAAAAAATTTACAATTTTTAATTGTAAACCTGTGTTTTCTATCAAAATTACTTCTTGCGTGAATTTTGGGACACCCTTTATAAGTGAGATCATATGGTATTTGTCTTTCTCTGACTGGCTTATTTCGCTTAGCATAATACTCTCCAGTCCATCCATGCTGTCACAAAAGGTAAGATTTCCTTCTTTTTTATGGCTGAGTAGTATTCCATTGAATAAATGTGCCAAAGCTTTTTTATTTACTTATCTACTGATGGTCACTTGGGCTGCTTCCGAGATCTGATTAAAAAAAAAATAAAGAAATGTCATATCCTATAAAAGACACATCTTGAAAATGCCTAAAGAAAGTTGTCATTTTTTCATGGTGAAGGGACTGGAGTCCATGTTGATGAAAACACTGTGGTGGCTGCGGTGACTGGAAGTGGCTGCCGCAGCGCGGTAATGGGGCTGGTGCCTTCCCCTGATTAGCCTGGTTGCCTCCCACAAAGGGAGGCCAGACTGTGGCTTAGGCCTGCTCCCCAAGGGGAGCAGGGGGGTGGCCTAAGCTCTCAGTAGGACATACCCTGAGGGCTCCCAGTATGTGAGAGGGGGCAGGCTGGGTTGAGGGACACCTCCCCTCCAGTGCACAAATTTCGTGCACCGGGCCCCTAGTATAGATATAATTGATATAATTCATTTCAGAGACGAAGTGAGAGGAGGAGAGGGATAGAAAAATCAATGATGAGAATCATTAATTGGCTACTTCCTGCATGCCCCACACTGGGGATAGAGCCCACAACCCAGGAATGTGCCCTGACCAGGAATATTAACACGACTTCTTGGATCATAGGTTGACACTCAACCACTAAGTACACTGGCCAGGCTGATTCCAAAAGTTTTAGGCTTCAAACTAATTACATGATTAAGCAAACTAAACTACCACTATTAATTTTAAATGTTTTCCGTGAGAGAGAATTTTTAAATGATACTAAGTGTTTCCCATATACTTTCAATGAAACATATATGAAAACTACATTTAAACATTTATATTCTTATTTATTTATTTGTTTGTTTGTTTATTTTTTGTAATAGTTCTTGCCAGTAGCCTCAGTCCATATCGTGAAGGAAGATTTATAGAGAGACGACTGCGGTCTTCATCAGAAGGAACTGCAGGGAGTAGCAGAATGATTTTGAAACCAAAAGATGGAAATGGAGAAGAAGTTAATAGTCTAAGAAAGCAAAGAGCAGGTTCGTCATCTTCAAAAATGAACAGCATGGTAAGTAAATACATGTGCCTGCACATGGTGAAATAATTCCCTCTGTATCTGGCAAGTTCTTGCATGCAAAATGAAAACAGAATGAAGACTAGACTCCTTACATTTGAAGGGAAAATTCATCTCCATAGTTTGATGTCACAAGTCAGAAGTGCTAACTTTGCACTTAAGACCCTCATGACAGATAGGAGCATACATAGATAGCTGCCCTTAATTCCCGTCTTCTTTGCTTCCATGGACAGTTCAATGTTCTCCATTCTAGAACAAAGCCCTGGAATGCACAGCTCAGGAAAAGTGATCCTGAGGCTACCCTCTGACACCTTCGCTGCACACTGTGCCCTCACCTCTAGCTAGCATAAAATGTGTCCTTTGGTAAACTACCCTTATTTCAGTACCACCCTTAGACCCTTTAATGGACCCTACTCTGCCTGTCCTTTTACAGTTGCCCTTCCACACAAAGTGAGGTGCCTGCGTGTCAAGGCAAAATCCACAACTTTTGTACATTCTAAGTATTAGAGGTTCCAAATTCCTGGTCCAAGCTGGGTGCCTGCTGGTGAGGGTGGAGGTGGGTGTGTAGGGGGCTGCATCTAGGCTTGTACTTGTGGACTGGGTGTCTTAGAGGCCTGTGAATGAAGCTTCTCTGTAACGTGAGATGGAGTCAGGGGTGGGAAGAAGTGACCAGTGGACTGCAGCCCAAGGGATCAGGAGGCCTCAGGTCTCACAAATATTGGGATGGGCTGGCCTTTTGGAGTTCACTTTACTTTCTCACAGATTTATTACTTTTTCAGTAACACCTTTGATCCCTAATATTTAGCAGTGTTTATTGCAAATGATCTACCTATTTATTCATTCATATATGTGAAAAATACATAAAACTATAATTTTTGACATCTCTGTATATGCTAGATAATTTTTTCAAGTGAAATTGTTAGATTATGTAGTTTAAACCATCATGTTGTGAAGAAGGCTTAAGTTACTGAGGTACTACTGAGTGACAGCAAGACCACTGTACTTGAAGTTAGAAGTTCTAGCCATCAGGTCAGGCTTGACCAGATTTTAATCTTGAGAAAATCAGAATTACAAAACAACAAATGATAATGGGCTTCTTGTTTTTATTATACTAAAACATGATTGTGTGTATTTACATGTGTATATATAGAAATCCATTATATTTCATCTTTCTTTTTTGTTCTTTGGTGCTTTAAAACTTACTATTTTGACAATTGAGGGTTTTTTTTCCTAAGTTTCAGAACATGTTAAGAAAGATTTCCAGTTAATGTAAAATTATAGGTTATGGCTAATGAATTATTATGAAACATAATAATTTCCATTATCTCTTCACAAAATTTCCACTATACCTTCATAGATCGGTATTTATTTTAATAATTGTGCACTATTCGTTACACTTGCCCAAAGTTGGGCCTCTTATGCATTCTTTGTATCTCATTTTTATACTACATTTAAATAATTTCCCTTGTAATATCACAAAATAACTTTTCCTTTGAGATACACTTTCAAGATTTAAAATTTAAAATATCAAAGCACAAAAATGTAATTTTGCCTTTTATTTAAGGCTTTTTATGAATTTTCAGAATTTGTCCCTGCAGTGATGTAGATCTTCCAGTAGATGGCAGGACTACACCATTGCCATGGGGAAGGAAAGGTTATAAAGCAGCAAATTTTCAAAGTTTCTCATCTCATAACACATATGAATTGATTACTATAATTCTGCACACACCAAAAATATGTATTATATTTATCCAAATATGAGAAAAAATAGGAATAAATTTTACTAATCCACCCCGGCAGCTATTATTGTGTTGGCTGTTGTCATCTTTTTATTTGACAATCTAAAGGAAAAGAGGTCAGTATACCTGACTAAAATAGTCAGGTATTGCAGGTTTTAAAAATTCTTGTGACACACAAGTTGAAAATCACTGCTATGAAGTATTAAGGTTGGGACAGAAACTTGGTTAAAATATTGTACATTTTCACTGGACTTACAGGTAAAACTTGTTGAAATAAATAATGAAACACTTGAATTTTCACATGAAACTTTTAAAATCTCTATGACATTACTGTTTTCCTTTGGATTTGCAACTGCTATCTCATCCTTTAATTAACTGATAGTTAAATTAAAATGCATAAAATATATTCTTTATCTCATGGCAATCTGAGTGAGGAAGAAATGCTAGAGTTCCGTAGATAATTTTAGCTATATGTGGAACAAGTGACTTATATATTTAGAAAATCATAGCTTTTTGTGTGAAAAGTGACCCACATTTTTTATATTTCTTTTCCAAAATATTTCAAGTGAATATATATACTTAAGATACACCCATAGTTCAGCTATTTTTTTTTCTTTTAGAGCAATAATAAGAGTAACTTGCATTATTAAGGCTACTTTTAACCAAGAGCTATAGTTAATGCTTCACATGTATTATAACATTAAGTTCTTACAAAACTATGAACCAAGGGATACTGTTATTGATCACAGTATGA